GACTCCGATCGACGGGAGCGTAGATCCCGAGGTGGACGCCTAGAGCGGCCCTTCTATTTTGTTCTAGACTAGGCTATGTTTTTTTTGAAAGATTGTAAAGTCTAGTTATCTTTTGAAATTCCGCTGCTTATCATAGTTTAATTCTTTGGGAATGTACATGCCATTGTGGGCATATTTTTTTTGGGTTAACATGTAAATTTGATGGATTGATTATATAGTAGTTAATTGGACCCGGTGTGGTCATTATAGTAGAATTGCACAGGTTGGATTTTGTGGTAGAGCTCCCCGTACAAAGGAGACTCTGCCCGAATTTTGTTAAAATATCAATGGTTGATGGATAAAAATTTCTTATTTATGGATTTATTTAGTGCTCTCATGATTGTGAAAGGTTTTAGAATGTAATGCCGTCCGAGGGGGTATTTGGGGCGTTACAATTATAATACAAACCATAGTATTACAATTTTTAATCAATCTCTTTACCAAAAAAATAAATGTAATAAATTTATAATATTATTAGATGTGCAAATACTCAAGAATTACAATCTTACAATGAAGTTCTATCATAAACAAAAGAGTAAGTGTCTAAGGTGTCGGGTACATGTTAAAAAATGAAAAATTAAGTACTTAAAGAGGGGTAGAATAGATCAATAATTCGATTTAACAGTAATCAAAATAAAAATTAATTATTTGGCATATAATTTATTATTCAATTTAATTAAAAATATAATAATTTTTTAAAAAAATATTATTTAAATATATTCACAATGCTAGCACATCGTGCATTCCTTAATATTTAGAAATATTCCACCTAAACAAACTTGTATTTAGGGGCGGAGCCACCTTTGGACAAGGGTGGACAGTTGCCCACCCCGACTTTTGGACAAGAGTGGACACTTGTCCATCCTGGCTTTTTTAAAACTCCTTACTATAATTTAGAACCACGATTTTATTCTTTTTAAGAGTTTGACCCCTCTAATTTTTTAAAACATTCTATAGTGGCTATAAATTTTTTATTTTTAATTATTTAGTAGTCCATTGAGCCTCTAAATCCAATTGTTATTATTGAATCGAGTAAGACGTATGCAAAATATTACAGTGACCAACGACATCACGGTTCTTCTATTTAATAAATTTTTATTGTATCAATTGGATTTTTTTTAACTGTATTGTGCCCCCCCTAACTGAGAAACCTGGATCCACCCCTGGCTGTGGTGTGTTAGTTTTGGACCACAGAGCTAGTCCTTTTAGGGTTCGTATGTTGTCACATATAGGAATTCTTGCTGCAGATATCGCCCAAAAAAAGGGTGCAAGTGAAATTACCCTACAAATTCAATACAAGTCACAATTTAGCTTCTGTACAGTGTTATTAGATCACTAGTGATAATCTGTCTAAAGGCACAGTGCAATATGAATAATTTTGAGAGGGATGTTGGTAGCCGTTTAATAAGTCTATTTAAAACCGTTGAATAAATTTATTGAAATATATTCTATATTATATTATAAATATATATGTCCAGCCTGCAAGTCAACCCAAGAATATAGTGCTTAGATCGGACAAGGTACAATTCAAGACCATTTTTGCAACAAATTTGCTAAGATCCAGATGATTCGGCCGGGTAAATCAGTGATTCATTGACCCAGTGAAGTTACCGGTTAACTCAGGAAAAAGATTAAAATTGAAAATTTGAAGTTTACCTCCATAAATATTTTGAATACATTATGAACACATTTAATGTTTTCTTTATGTCTTTTTATTTGATGAACTCAACATAAAGTATACTATTGTTGTAATGATTATTACGTTTTATAGAATGATCAATTAGACTGATTGAGTTAAACTAGTAATCTATTGACCCAGCCTTTTTGCTTGATTAATATCCGGGGAGAGTATAAAAAATTTCTATGAATTTTGACCCATAAATCAAAAGATTCACCATTTATCTAATTGAGTTTTCTGTCGTTGTCCATGCTAAAATGTAAATTGTTGGGTACAATGCCAGAAAATGTTGTTAGGCTTAGCCCACTACAAGTCACACCTGTTGCAAAGAATTGTGGTTGAAAATCCTTAAGAAAAATATAATATTCGAAGTATACATAAATTGATTCGGACACTCGTGATTGTTGACTGAAAAAAATAGAGGTAAGGATAGGTAATGTATTGAAAGTACTAAAATACGAGGGCAAGATTCTAATTTAATTTGGTAAAATTATAATAAAATAAAATTATTTGGGATCGGCTGTAAAATTGATGGAAGAGACCAATAGTGTAAGTAAATTAAAATCATAAAAAATTAAGAAACTGGGAGTGATGGTTTTCCAACCCTTCCAAGAAAGGGATTGCTTTTTATGTATAGATAGGTTACTGATGGGACTTTTCTGAAATACCCTATGATGAAGACACGTGTCCTCGGTTTTACTAAAACAATGTTGCTAAGATCAAGCACCATCGGCGCACGAATGTCCTCACCCCCGAGGTACCGTCATATAGGATCATACATTCAGTATATTTTACAACCGACACGTGTCCTCGGTCAGATATGTACCTCGGTCGGCATACCTCCCTCGGTCCCCGAGATGAGCCTTTCCTCGGTGCCAAGAGGTACCCCGTCCTGGACGCTTCCTCTACTCCAGGATAAGCTATTGACGTACAGGTCATTAGCCTAGGCTAATCTAGGCTATTCATCATGACCTCGTCTTACACAAGTAATGTCAGAACGTACTGGAATACAGAGGTCACAGCTAATAGGGGATGGACGCGTGGCATATGATATCACATCAGAGACAGACAAACCGCATGTCGTTGCTGACACACGACTTGGGAAAGCAAACAATTAATTGCACTATTCCCTTGATGAGACCGCATTCAATGCGGTAAGGCTCGGAAATGAAAGGCAATAAATGCTCCTATTACAGAGCATTTATTGCATCCTCCCCGAGAGGAGCACATTGTACCGTCGGCATCCCGACGACCCAGCATTGATTGCTCGGGACTCCGAGCAGTTAATTAGAGAAGACATTCCTCATCAGAATCAATGCACACGCTACCTGTGCCTAATGATCACCTACTGACCACACTGACAGCAATCATGAGCTTTTAAGGTATAAATACTCCTTGCAAAAGGCAAAGCGGGTATGCAACAACAAACTCTCTACTACAATACACACAATATTCTCAGTGTTTTCTCCTTCCTCTCTCTTTCTCAAAGACTGACTAGATCGTCGGAGGGGATACGCCGGAAAACACTCCGGCTCCTTTCTAACTTGTTCTTCTTTGTTCCAGGAACCTCTCTCAGCCTTACTGGATCGTTCTTCCGTTCCCAGGACTTCTCATTGCCGTTCCAGGTTACCACCGTGCCTGGCAGGCCGTTCCAAGCAGCGCGTTTGGTCACTCAACCTGCTCACTCGAGTTCATCAAGGGAGTGATCTGTTCTCGTTTTTTATATTGTGCAGGATCTTGAACGCACAGTTACGTTTCCCTCTAAAATTTACAAAGAGTAAAAGAAAAAAAGGTCATCCATTTATACTAAGAATCTCACATAACTTTTCAAAATGTGTGTTTTAAAACCACTAGTGTGTAGGTCTGGGTTGAGAATTGGGGGGCCTCGTTGGCCTAAGTCTCGCTATGAAAATTGACGCTTTCTAACTCTTTATGAAAAGCTCCGTCTCTATTTCAATTAAAGCGCAAATACTCATTCTTAGGCAGTCTATATCTAGCCACTCTCTTGACAGTTACTCATTGTTCTTGCCAAAAAAAAGAAACTCAACAATAATATTTGTTATTCCAATATAATTACTTATTTAATCCCCCACTCCCCTTAAAATTTTCAATATATCTTGTATTGAATGGTCCGATCAATGATAGGAGTTTAACTTGATATCATAAAATATCATGTGACATATGAGTAAATATACTTTTGGTCAGTAAAATATCCAAGAAATATCGTATTGGTCCGTTAATTGTCAATATTTCTTCAAGCACCATCCTAAAAATTGTAATTTGGGTTTAAATAATCCTAATCGATTACGAAAGTACTTGGCATTTTTTGTGCACATGAAATTTGTTAGCAATCCTGAGGGAAACTTTAAACATAAAATTGAAATTTTAATTAATAAAACTTGTATTTAAAGGACTAAAGCGTGGCATTTCGCGCATATTTTAAAGACCAAATGTACACACCGACAATTAGAATTAACAATCTAAATCTCCGTCATCGTTGGGTATGAAAATTAATATCTTTGAAGACTATAATATAACATAACTATAAGAATGAGGACGAAAGGAGATGAAGCATATTCTTTATGGACCATTATTCTACCTTGCCCTAATAAAATTGAAGACAAAAGTGACAGTTATAACAACCTAAGTAGTATCAACATAGCCAACAAGGTACGTCATATACATTAAACTTTCCTTCCACGTAATAGTCGCCTAACTTGTGCTGTTGCTCCCATAAAATCGGTTTCAAACCCGTCTTCTTGTCCACACACTACTTCCTGCCATCAATTGCCGAAACCTCCATAGATTTTTCCAAAATATATATATACACACACACAGGACATAAATATATATATATATATATATATATATAGATATATATAAGTAATAATTTGACCCCTCAATTGTACTCTTATCTCACGATATGCCCCCTAAACTATCGTGTTTCTCATATTGCATTTTTAATTACATTTACTGATTTCACATTGGACCAAATTTAGATATGGAAAACGTGTGTTTTACCACGTTGTAGGGATTTTCAATCGACAGCATGACGGCTATTCAAATTTGGGACAATGTAAAAGGTAATTCAAGTAATTGAAATAACAAAGCGAGAAACTCAATAATTAAAGGGGTCAAGTGAAACCAGAGGCATAGTTGAGGGTCCAAAGTGTAATTTTCTTATATATATAATGACGCATCATGATGTGTCTCTAGATAATATAAAAGCCCCCTAACAAAAGCTTATTTTCATTTTCTTGTGCACACGTTTACTCCTGCTCTCATGGAACCTTCAATTTCTTCATGGCTATTCAGAATCTTCATCACCTTTTTCATTTGCTTTCTGGGGTTTGCTTCTTCGGATTCTTCTCGTATGCCTACTATTACTATGAACTCTACAGCTGAGTTTCAGAACCACACCGCGATATCGGAGTTTCGGATACTGAACAGAAAGGCTTTGGGTGATTGTCCTGATCCAAACCCTTATCTCCAAATCAACGTCAGCTCCAAATCTGGCCTCTCCGACGAAGAATATGTCTCTGTTACTCTGAGCGGAGTCTTGGTTCCTGCCGATAGTGATTGGGTTGCCATGATCACACCTGCTCATTCTGAGTAAGAACAGTGCAACATCCATAGGAGAACTTGTTCTTGTGTTTCTTTTGCATGTGTTATGAGATATCTGTTGTATCAAAACTTGTTCAACTCGTACACATCTCATATATGATCATCTATAGTTCAATGCGGATTGTGTCGATTTCATATAGTTCATTTCATATTTATCTGTGTTCATGTGAACCCATTAATTGAGTATCTGTCAATTTCATCTGCTTACCAATCAAAGTCGATAAGGTTAAATACAAACTCATTAATTCTATGCTAATTTTATGTCTGGTTCACGGGTAGTGTCTACCTTTATTTTGATTTTGTTTTTCTTTTCTTTGTTTCACACATGCAGGGTTTCAAGTTGTCCTTTTAATGGTATTCAATATCAGCAGACTGGAGATTTAAGCAAACTTCCTCTTCTCTGCCATTATCCTGTAAAGGTAATACTTGTTAAACAAACAAAGTATCGTATATGCGTACTTGTGTGTCTGTGTGTCTGTGTATGGACACATACAACCGCTCCTTATTCCTTCAGCTAGTTCAGTTATTTTTATGAGAATTTGAGGAAAAGAAAATTACCAGAAGTTACATTAAAAAAAGGGTTAATTGTAAATTGCATTTCGAAAGCTTGTTCGAATTTTAATTTTTACCTTTAAATATCAAAAATCTCAATATATACTCTCAAAAATAAAAAATTATATCAATGTGCACCCCTAAAAATCAAAAATCTCAATTTATACCCTTAAAGATAAAAATTTATATCAATGTGCACCTAAAGTAACTGCCGTTAATTTGCTGCCTGAAACTAAATTCATAAATTATACCTAGATCCCCTCATGCTTGTCACTTAATCATTTGGACTCATTTACAAAATAAAAGGTAATATGAAATTATAATTTTTTATTAGGATAAAATCATATTTTTTAACGGTTATAAAATCCTAATAAAAATACTCTCAATCTAAAATGTCCTCCCAATTGGGCATTCAAATAATTATGTTTAAGTGATATATTACATTGGATATAAAAAATATTATACAAATTTCTATCTTTGAGGGTGCAAATTGAGATTTTTTATTTTTGGGAGTGTACATTGATACAAATTTCTATCTTTGAGAGTATAAATTGAGATTTTTAATCTTTGGGGATGCACATTGATATAAATTTTTATCTTTGAGGGTGTAAATTCAGATTTTTTATCTTTGAGGGTACAAATTAAGATTCGAACGATCATTCGAGATGTAATTTACAATTAACCCTTAAAAAAAATACTACTTTGGTTTTGGATTACTTGACGTTAAAGATATACTTTGGAAGTATAGGAAAGATAGCCTAAAACAAACATGAAACTTGTAGCAATTTGGGTTTTGTGATTTAAATGTTTTATTCTGCTTATTAAAAAGAAAAAAAAGACATTAATATAATAGTTTTATTGGGGAATTGCGATATCAAATTTTCCAATTTTTTTACTGAAATGAGAATGATGATATGACACCCTATAGTATAATCGGAGAATGATGATATGACACCCTATAGTATAATCGGTTGAAGAATAGTAATATTATACTTTACACCTTTTATAACAGTTTAAACTTTTAGATGAGGTGGTAGTTTAGTCCAATATCAAAATACGAGTTTCTTTATTCCAAACTCACCGCCCATGATAATTATAGAAGACTGCCGGTGCTTAGCCCAAAACATAACTTGCAAATGCGGGGTGGATTAAAATATATAAATACGTATGTTACAATATCTCTAGCAGTTCAACTTTTGTATGAGTTGGTGGTTTCAGATAATCATAGAAACCGACAAAACTTTTGTGTTTCGTGTTTCGATTGGCCTAACAAACTTCAATCCCAACACATCCCTTAAAAACTAGTATTTATGCGCACATGGGCATCTAGGGGTTAAGCCAAAAATTTGAGACAAAGGGGAGGTGAGGGGAAACTGAGGGTGAAACTATACAGAATATAGAATTGACGTGCGCATATCGAAAAGATCCATATTTTACGAAGGGAAAATAGGGGAAGGGAAGTTAATTTAAGGCCAAAATGTAATATCGAAAACTTAAGTGGGTTCGGGGAACAGATGGCAGTGGACTGAAAAAAACGGGAATTCGTCTAAATTTGTTTTATTTGGATCGATAATGTACTGTACATATTGGATAGTGGACGTATACAAGAATACTCATACGGACCCTAATTCAAGAGAATCAAGAAGCCAAGAGAGACATGCATATATCTATATAATAAGATAGCTAGGTGTTTGAACTTATGGAGGGTATATTTTTCCCCCCAAATTTCACACACTTTCCCTCCCAAATTTTACAAATCCAACACAAATATTTCGCAAACACATAGTTATACATACTCCAGTACACACTCACTACACATATACACACACACACATTATATATACACTCTAGTTGTACACACATACTCCAATACACTCATAGTGTCATAATTTAATATTTAGTGACTTCAGTCGCAGGGTATCGCTAGTATATCTATATAGTACTACTACTACTAATAAAAGGAAGCTAATGAGAAAAAATTTTTGATTTTCTATTCTACCGCTTCTTAATTATATAAAGACAATTATATCTTACTTACCACTTTAACTCTTACACCCTTTCCTTTCTAAGAATAAATATTTGTGATTATAAGTGCAATGAATACATAACATTATATATAAGAAGACCTTTCATATTCGTAACACTAGAAAAAATTAAAAAACAATATAAGAATAACATGCTCTCCTTCCAAATTCTCACTTACCACAAGTAGAAAAATTTTCTCTCTTTATATAATAGAAGTGACTGATTTTTTTTATTCTTCTCTACAACTTTCATACCTCCCTCCATTTATGTGTTTTGTTTTTATTTTTTTTTCTTTGCAAGTTGCCATAAATCTTATGAAAGTAAGACTATAAAAGATATTGAAAATGATGAGCTCAAAGTGCAATAATTCTTGGTTGTTTATATGATTCTTTTTTTTTTTTATCATTACTATCAACTACTGCTTTGATGATTTAATCTGAGTGTAATCTAGGATTTTAAGAGAATGTGATTTGTCTTATTCACTATTTAGATTCAATTTCTTTTATTTATTTACTTCTCAATTTTAATTTAGAAATTTAATTTGCCATGGTCTTGGAACATGAAATTAATTTTTGCAACTATACACAAATTCTACTTATTAATTATATTTTTATTCGAGTTTTAATTCATTTTTTAGTCTTCAATTGCCAAATATTTATTATAAGATTGTAATTTTTTTCAATCCAAAGTCAATATTTCTTGATAAGAATTCTTCTAAGTGTTGCTCACACCATGGTAAAAGTAAAATATTTGAAATATAAATTTTATAAACAACTAATAAGTAATCAAATCAACGACCTGATACCTTTCTTTTACATTTTGTCTCTTTTACTTTCTAACTTCACACTTATTTTATGTATACATAAAACTAAAAATATAGAGATAATGCAAGTAAAAATTAAAAAAATACTAAAATTATAATTCAAAATAGTCCACGTACAACGTACATGAGCACCAACTAAAACATATATATATATATATATATATATATATATATCTTTATTAAGAATATATTCTTTAGAAGCAACCAATCAGAATTTATGAGCTACACAAACTCATTGAGAATCCACAACATTGATATATGTGTTTGTCCTCCTCAATTTTGATTGGCTGCCTGTAAACAATTGTTTACAGGCTTGCTTCTAAAAAATTTAATCCCAACTTTATTATTAGAGCAATGTTGTATAACTCAAATCTACAATTCAAATTTGCATCTCAAATAAAATGAGACTATTGGATCAGTGAGTCTCATTTAAAAAAATTGATAGACCTACTCATCCAATGATCCCTATTCATTTGGGATATAAATTTGAGTTACAAATTTGGATTACATAGTATTTCCCTTATTATTATTGTTGTTTTTGTTCAATTATGCAAAGATTATATTGTTAAATTATATCTTTGTTTTTAGTTTTGATCATATCATGTGATACATGTATGCGGTGATATAACTTATATTTTAAATATTATGATTCTTTTTTTCAAATTTTTATTATAAAATCACATAAATTAATTCAGAGGGAGGAAGGATCAAAATTTATATGCAATACAGGGAGAATGATTAAAATTTATCCCACTCATTAGTGGTGGATGGACTTTTTTTAAGTGGGTTCAAACATGGGCGAAGCCACGTGAGGATCAGGGTGGGCACTCACTTTTGGATCACCTTATATGAGGACCATGAAACTATTTTGTAAATTATATTGGCCCGCCTTAAATTTTTTGAAATTTCAATAATGGTTCTAGTCTTTTTTTTTTCAATAAATTAGTGGTCCATTAAACCTCTAAAATAAATATGTTAGTTTTGAATTTAGTCAATCAAATGTAACTATCTTGATCTATTTGTATATTAAAGAAAATACAATATTTTTCTTTATCTAACACAATGTTCATTATTTTTTAAGAATAATTTTTAATTTTCATTTACCATTTTTTAAGCAATAGTAGTCTATAATTTAATAAAATACGTTTATATACAAAAGACAAAAAGTTATAACTTAAAAATATTTCAAACAATTTCGAATAAGAAATTTCTCTATAAGATCGATAATAATCTCAACTAAATTTTGCAACTAAATAAAGAACAATTTTACTACGAACTTGTGATTGTGTGCATAAATAAAAAATTAGTGAAAAATTAATTTACATTTAATTCATATACAAAATTTTGGAGATTTTAAAATTTTTAATATTTTATTAAAATATATAATTAGGTTAAAATGTACAAAAAAAATTATTATGTGTCTTTTTGTTAGAATTTTGTTTATATTAAATAAAAAATAAATTTACTATTTTACAATAATTTTGTCTTCATTCTTACTATTTTGTCTTTTTTGAACTGAATTTTTTTATATCAATTTCAACTATATATTTTTTTGTATCAATTATATTTTGTCCCCCCTTCCAATAGTTATTCCTGACTCCGCCCCTAAATACAAAGATGGAGGCTACCCCGGGCCCCGTCGACTGCCATTGCCAGTTGGGGATGGTCCCCTTGGTCTTACCGTTCTTTTGAGTGCCCCCATGTATGGTAGTATTATTTCCTTTCCACGCAATCAATTTTCAGGGGTAAAACACTATGGAGAACATACATTCATAACTGTTTTTAATATTTCATTCTAAGGGCATTAAGCATAGTATAAATTATATTTTGACCCCTCAACTATATCTAATATCTCACATTAACCTCTCAATTGTTATGTTTCTGTCCTTAGTTGTGCACCACCCCTATTGTAGGCGTCAATTACGTATAGTATAGAAATTTATGTAATTCAGCCCTGTACTATGTGATATTTCTTATTTCGTCCCAAAGTCTAATACCAAACCAAACTTTATGTCTTAATCATTTAAGTCAGCTATATGAGTCCGCTTTTGCTATTTCTTTCATTCATGCACTTAGTGCTTATATTATTGTTTGGACTCATTATAGTGGATCCGACAAAGTTTTATGTTGGTTGTTGACTACCTAACGCAACCCTCCTCTTTTATTTTGACTTGGGACAGACAGTATTGAATACAACGCTGACGAAATTGCTATTGACATGTAGATATATTTTGTCCGGCCATAGTTTAGGAATGCAAAGTGTAATTTGCTATAACAACAATTCTCATCATGTGTAAACCCCATAAAAAAAAAATAATAATAATAATTTGTTGCACATATATTGAATCAGATGTCATTTTCTTTATGTTGCCTATAAAGAAATCGCATGAAATTAGCGATTTAAAATTGAAATTTAAAAGGATGTACCTAATGCACGAGACTCGGTCATTACGGAGTTTGAAAAGAGTTAAATGTATGCATTCTTATCCCTGCAAGCAAAAAGATTATTTTCGTAAATCAAACTCGTGACCACTAAATCATAATAGAGCAAGCTTATTGTTGCGTCAAAACCCGTCCCTCGTTAAAAATTGGAACTTGGAACTTAAAAAAATTTTGCTATTTCAGGCGCAGTATGTAAGCAATGATCCAGATTACCTGAGTTGCAAGAAGAAGGAATGCAAGAAATATAGAAATGGTGTGTGTGTTTTAACCACCTGCAGTGCCTCCTTAAAATTTCATGTCATCAACTTCAGAACAGACATTGAGTTTGTGTTCTTCGCCGGTGGATTCGAGACGCCTTGCATTTTGAAGAGATCTAACGCATTGAGTTTTAACACTCCGAAAATGCCATTGTATGGACATCTCTCAAGCATTGATTCAACCGGAACATCGGTAATTAGCAACTTTCTCTATTATAATTCCTGTCAAGAGATACAAGTAATGACTCTATATGGTCGGCTCGGATTTAGATCTTCTCTAATACATTTTTTCTCAATGATAAGATTACCTGTTATGAATTAAAGTGAAGTCCACTATATATGTAGCACCATGCTAATATGATTTTGAGGGGACACTGTTCCTAGACCCCTCCTATGCCCGCCTAGCTGAATAACAGTTTGTTTTTTCAAAAATCAATGATCATGATCTGATCTCTCCTCGCTACAATTCCTTCGATTGTGCCAAGTAAAAACTTGAACGTTGCCGATGATATTTGCAGATGAGATTGACATGGGTCAGTGGCGATAAAGAACGTCAACAAGTTCAATATGGAGATGGCAAGTCTCAGACATCAGCTGTTACTACATTTTCACAACATGACATGTGCAGTAAGTTCTTAGCCCTCTACCAGATATATGCTTGTCCTAAAATTTTTAGTTTCAATGGTTTAAACAGAAATGTCCTGATAGAAAATACTTCCAGTATAAGAAAGGATCTGGTCGATCATTATCTAATTAGAAAAAGTAATCGAGTAACTGAGTGCATGAGACCCCGTTATTGTGAGTTTAGAAGTGGTTATGTACAAAGCTGGAGATACTTAGTACTAATCTATTTTCGGAATATTGTTGCCACACTAATTGCAGAATTTTTGAAAATATACATAGTAATTAGATTGAGTCCCTTTGTAGACACCTGTAAAATTAAAATAATACAGATAAAATTAACATGATCTCTAAGTAATGATAACATGCACTGATCGATCGAGAAAAGGAAGAAAACTTGACAATCGATTTACTGCATTTAATATTAAGATTAACTTTAATCAAGTCAACCTACCATATCTCCAAGTCAAATGTATGTTTTGTTCCTTTGCAAATTTTGTTGCTATTTTGTACATGTAGTATTTAATTGGTTTTAAATTTGACTGGATTGAGAACATACCGAGATTGAGATTTTCTCTCATATTTTTTTTTTTTTTTGTAGAGTGTCTACCATTAATGAGTGAGAGAGCTAGTTGTATATAATGAGTCTAATTCGAATGTATGATAGGTAATAATGCCAAATAGAAAATTGAAGAAAAAATGTATTGGATCAGATCCTAATCTACATTACACCAAACGATCCCCGTTTGGTACAATAGAAAAATGGAAGGATGAAAAGTTTGAGAGATAAATAAAATATCATGTTTGGTAAGGAAGGGAAATAGAAAGACTGAAAAAGTGGATGAATTAGCTTTCCTTCCAACTCATTAAAATTAATCCCTCTAAAATTTGGAGGAAAGTGAATGAAAAATTAATCATATGTGTTGCGATGTATGTTGTTTATCTATATTTTATTTGATATATACATATATCATATTTAACAATTACATACTATATATTTATATTTTTTTCATCCTTTTATTTTTCATTAATACTAAACATAAAAAAATTAATCATTTTTACTTTCCTTCCATCTATCCTATAAAATACAAAGGAATAAAAATGTATCATTTCTACTTTCCTTCTTTGAAGAATAGGAAGTATATCATTCATGTTTGTTATCCCTTCTACTTACCATCTTTTCTACCAAACGGAGCATTAAGTTTTTGGATGTAAGTTTGAGTCCAATTATATATGAGCTCAATCAAGCTGACTTTGATAACTAGTTCTAATAATTAATCGAGACACACCCTAAATGTGCCAATATCATACATTTTTTAACCCAAAAAAAAACGTAAAAAGATGGTTAATTCCAATGCATAGAATGAATCAAAGTCTTGAACTGATGTTCCAAAGACGAGAGTCCAAGCATCAATGTTTAAAAGTTCCAATGCGTGAGTCAGACCAAAGTTTTTTTAGTTGGAAAGGGAAAAGCTAAGATTCGAACAAAAGGAAAGAGGTTTATCTTTGCTTATGTGCTTATTTTGTTGATGCATAACACCGTCTTTAAAGAGTAGTAGTCTCTATCTCTAGCTACCGATGTTGATTTGGTGACCTTCACCCATAATTGCAAGACTTTTAATGCCAATTAAGAGAGAAATATTACTTTACCAAAAAAATTTTTTTTGCACCGTACTAGTGAAGTTACTAATCACAATGTTAAATTAAGACTTAATGTGATTACTTAAGATCAATCTAAAAAAATTGGGATTAATCATAATATTGCATGATTGATCGACCAACTAAATTGTATTCCCATAATACTTGGAATTATGGATTTTTAATTTATGGGGATAGTATAAGATACGTAATCGAGAAAAAAACCAATTGTTTGATTAAGTAAGCTACTAAGAAATTTTTACCTCTTATTATATTATGTGCCTATGGGGCACGCATATAAGAAGAAAGTAAGTTTGTGTCGTAACTTAAAATCAATTGATTTTGTAACTTCTTCTTTGATCTATAACATGGTCTGGATTGAATCGTACTTGACTCTGATTGAGACGTAGCTTAGATACAGAAATTGTACTTAGATTATGTTTGGTGGTTTGGAAATTGAAAGGTTCAATTCTACCAAGTCCGGCTAAGGATTTCGGGTGGCATGATCCGGGCTACATTCATTCAGCAGTGATGACTGGACTCCAGCCTTCAACCACTGTCTCATACAAATATGGAAGGTAAGTTTTTTCTTTTTCTTTTTCTTTTTCTTTTTCTTTTTTTTTTTTAATAATCTTAAATTTGTCGATAAATAAAAAATAAAAAAAATTGTCAAAAGGGTTGACAATTAATTACCCTTGTTCTCCTCTCATCCCACAAAAATTTCGATATCGTATCAAAAAATAAATTTTTGGCATTATAATTTTATCCGTGAGTAGAAAGTTATGAGTTTAGCAAAATTTGAAGAACTTTGTCACAACCCACATCAATTGGATTGGAAATGTCTTATTAAGATTATAAGATTTAGATGGTTCTTTACTGAACAGTTTAAGTTTTTGAATGACGAGACCGTGACAAGTGGTATCAAAGTAGAATCCATCCGACAGCGCGAATTCAACGAGGGTGTCACATTTTTTGGATAGCGGGGAATGTCATATCTCTCAACGATTTGAGTTTAAGATTATTAATTGAGTAAATATTACTCATGCTCCATGACATTTTGTTTTATTACACGAACATCCCCTCACATTTCAAAAATCACACTGATGATTTTACGTTTGAATACAGTGATTCAGCTGGTTGGAGTAACCAAATCAAGTTCAAAACTCCACCTGCCGGAGGATCAGATGAAGTCAAATTTCTTGCATTTGGTGACATGGGAAAGGCTCCCCGTGATGCTTCTGCCGAACACTATATTCAGGTAACATTTCCTTATATATAACTACACAATGGGCTAATTATATTTGTTATCTCGAAAAAATTTAAAAATTCTATTTTTCATTGTATCTTCAATGTATTATAAACATTGTCATGGGCTCTTTTGTTGCTCATTCCGTCAATGTTAATGGAGTTTGATGGAAAAAGCAACGGAGGTTAACGGAAGAGCTACATTGATGCTGTAGATTTTTCCGAAGTGGGTGTGAAATTTACCTTAATTTTAATTAAGTTTTGATTTTGTTACAAACATATTTATAGCCAGGATCGTTATCTGTGATCAAAGCCATGGCGGATGAAGTAGCTTCTGGGAGTATAGACTCAATATTTCACATAGGGGACATAAGCTATGCCACTGGATTCCTAGTAGAATGGGACTTTTTCCTACAGCTTATCAGCCCTGTGGCTTCTAAACTTTCTTACATGACAGCCATTGGAAATCATGAGAGGTATGCTTCTTCTTTCAATAATACATAAAAATACCGTGTATTTTTCCGTATATGATAGCAAGTAAAATGTCTACATCAACTGTCAGATGCTGAAAAATTGGTTCAGATCAATGGGTGACTAATAACAACAAAGAGACACTAATCCTCCGATATTTAAGTCAATAAAACATATAAACTATGTGTGGCGTACCTTGATAATAGGGGCTTGTCTGGGGCCATCATTTATGTCTAGTACGGTCATATATTTCATTCATTCCTTATGAATGTGTCAACAAAAAGTAAAATTATCATCCCTCCCCCTTTCTCTCGGATCCAGATCCCGTCCAATTTTTTTGCCAATTTTCTTTTTTGTGAATCATCTAACATTAATAAATGAGAGACCCACTTGTATACATGGTCCGAGTTAAATAATGAGCCATCAAAAAAGAAGTTTTAAAAAAAAAATTGTATTATAAGGGATCTTCATCCCTCTCCCCTTACTTTCTCCACTAACGACCAACCTTTATATGTTAAAACCTCCAATATAATGGCCCATTTTTCCCCTTACAATTCTCCTAGTTCATCACATCTAAAAGGCAAAAAATAGTAATTAACCCTATCAAATTACTCAATTTATCTTCTTGCAATGGTTTATTTGTCATTTTGATGCAGTAAATTAAAGCACACTCATATATTTTTTCTTCAATTTTTTCCTTAACGGATCATCGACTATTAATGTGTAAATGATCCGCTTGTATACACAATGTACCCCATTTGCATACATGGTAAGTGATCTGCCAAGAAAAAATTTCTATTCGATGAGACCTCACTCCAGATATTGGGGGTTTGCAAATTGTTATTGGCACCCTAGGGTGTGTTTGAGTATGTAGATACTTAATTTATACATTCTCTAACAGCTTCATTTTCCAGGGATTACATGGAGTCGGGATCAGTTTATGAGACCCCGGACTCAGGTGGGGAATGTGGAGTTCCTTATGAAACTTATTTTCCCATGCCAACACCTGCAAAAGATAAGCCATGGTATTCTATTGAACAAGGAAGTGTTCACTTCACAGTTATTTCTACAGAACACGACTGGTCTAAAAATTCAGAGCAGGTAAAATTTACCATAATTTTCCTTTTATCAATGATATTACAAGTTGACTAATTTGTGTTTCAGTACAATTGTTAATTCAGATATTCTTTATATATGATATTTTTTTGAGGTCGTGTATTATAAGAAAATTTTGTCAATTTATTTTTAAAAAATAATGGGCAGGAAAGAAAAAAATTTTATTTTATATAATGTGATCGATTTTTCAGACACCCGAATTTTATATGCATCTAGTGCTTATCTTCAAGCAAGTGTTACGGGGCTTGTACACATATATGCATATAGGTATATATATTATTTATATGATGTAAATGCTTATAGATTACTTTTTTAAAATAGTAATCAAACGTGCTTTTGTTTTTTTTTTTTTAACAAAATTTATTTTAATTTTGAAAATTTTACTTCAAAAAAAACTAGAAAACATACATTTGCTTATTCAACCGATGTAGAGTTGAACTTAGATATTTTTTGGACAGTATGAATGGATGAACAAGGATATGGCAGCAGTCGACCGATCAAAAACTCCTTGGCTAATATTTACAGGGTAAGTTGAACTTTTGAGAAGCTCTTAAACACTACTTGTTTGTTGCAGCATGGATTTTTGGTATGAAAAGAGCAATTTTAAGACTTCAATGGTTCCATCAAGGTGCTCGGATCCAAATTCTCTCCGATACATTTCTTCTTCAATTCTTTTCTTAGCGGATCATCAACTATTAGTACTTGAAAGTTCAAAATGCGCCTTAATAGGCTTACACTGAAAAAATTTGAATATTTGCAGGCACAGGCCTATGTATAGTTCCTCTGAAGGCCTCATCCTTCCAAGTGTCGACGATAAATTTGTTGAAGCCGTAGAGCCATTGCTATTAGGCAACAAGGTAAGCAAGGTCCCATGGCTCTATAGTTTATCAGTCATCATCAGATGATAAATTTCATTTAGTAAACTGATTGAGACTATTCACTATCGGAAACAATGAACTATATAGGTTGATTTGGTTCTATTTGGCCATGTTCATAACTACGAGAGGACGTGTGCGGTTTTCCAGAAACAATGCAAGGCAATGCCCAAGAAAGATGAAAATGGGATAGACACATATGATAACACCAACTACAGTGCACCAGTTCATTCAATTATTGGAATGGCCGGCTTTACTTTGGACAAGTTCCCTGCTGGTGTAAGTAGATTTAATCCCCAACCCCTCTCCATTCGTACATTCAAGCCTAATATACACGTATCTGTGTGTGTGTGTGTGTGTGTGTACATTGTATGATTGAACTTCTTCCTTCTCATTTGTCGACAGGCTGATAGTTGGAGTTTGTCACGGATCTCTGAATTTGGATACGTTAGAGTACATGCAACACAGGAAGAATTGAAATTTGAGGTGAGTTTATAAACTTAACCCCGCCTAAAAATATAGTGATTTAAAACAAGATCAGCTGCTCTCAAAAGAAGTGCCCTTTATTATTATCGAATTTTTCCAAATTATCGTATTTATCTTTCCACAATTACAGTCAGATGGCAACACTTCAATTCAGACTCGTCTTGCTTGTGTAACACTGGATTGCAATTACCTATTCTAACTACTAAAATTGAAGATTTTAATTCATACTTTGGCTCAATAAACAAGGATTTCGGCCCTGGATCTATAAATTTGGATGCGATTATATCCGCATTGGAGAGAACTATGCGAGAGTTATATGGTTATTTGTTGGCTTTTATACAAAATGTGAATACTACTACCATAATCTATGGTTATAACAATGAAAGCTACAGAAAAGAGACATAAAAGAACTTGAAGACTAGGGCTCAGAGCCAAGTATTCTCTAAGGCATGCTTGTTCAAGACTTTATTCAATTATAGACATAACTACCTACCTAGGAATGTATAACTTATTGATCATCAGTAGCAACAGCTGCAGCATTATTCGAAATAGCCGATATTTTTGCTATTTGTCATTGGAAAGTTAGATTACAAATGCCATAGATTAGATTTCGGATCTGTAGGTTTAATCCACTAGTTACATCTTGCCAACTTTCTTCATTTTAACTTGAAATGCCAAGAATTATCATTATCTGCATTTGTGGCTTATTAAACTACTTTAATTTTTGCAGTATGTGAATGCAAATACAAGGAAAGTTGAAGATAGCTTCCGGATCACCAAAAGCCAAAGGACATAGAGAGAGAGAGAGAGAGAGAGATCATTATGTAGATAATCATAGAATAAATTGCAGAAAGTGATAACAAAGAGACAGTGTATACCAATGCACATTGTTATGAGGTTACAATATAACTGCAAATACAAATAGAAAAGCTAATTTTCATGAAAATATAGCAGCAGCATTGACTTTCAGTAACTGATCAAGGGCCACGGCTTGCCATGGCATTACTATTCTTTAGCCATATTATGATCTTATTATTTTTTGATAGCCTTGATGGGTGTACTTTTTTTTTTTTGGAGGGGGGTTCTAATTACTTTGTTAAAAACCTTCTATTCTGCAGCTGACTTGAAAAAAAAAATTTCATTATTTCTTTTGCCAACATTGATCTCACAATTCAAGTCATATGAAAAATGGGTCTGGGCATAGCAATATGGAGATGCTTATGACAGAACGGGCCAATCTGGTCTTTCATAATAAAGTGATAGACGGAACTACCATAAAACGAATTATCAGTAGATTAATAGATCACTTCGGAATGGCATATACATCAAGACGAATCATTCATATCAATTTAATGGATGACAACAATTTTCTCTAACTTGTCAGGACTAAGATTACCTTTAAAGTCATAAAAGCACCAAACAACAATTTCCATCAGGGATTGGATGAGATCTCCTCAAATGCAACTTTTTAGATTTTTCTCAATGATAGATTACTCTCGGGATCTAAGTACATCCAGATTTTAATTTGGATCCGGATCTAATTGGATCTTCATAGTACCCCAACATCGACAAGTTAGAGAAATTGCCAGGTGGGGACCTGAAGCAGTGAGTTTCAAGCAGCATCACAACCACTCCAGCTAGGGCAAAATCGATTCAAAATTCACAATTGTCAACAAATTAGAAACAGATGGCTGAATTTGTTCAATATAAAACCACCAAATATACATTTTCATCTAAGCATCACCCTTTTGTACCAGTTATAAAACATAGTCATTACTTCAGAAAAAAAAATATAATCATGCTGATTGTGCCAACACTAGATGTAAATTCAACCAAATATAAAGTATTTATCAAATTGATAAATAGCAAAATTGGAGGGGAATTTAAGTAATAAAATTGCTTATATACAAAAATATCGCAGCATCATATGCTTGATTAACATGTTTATATACAAATGATCAACATGTATTATTACATTGTTCAATCTAATGGTTGCAATAGTGACAAATGCTGCGAATGACCTTTTGGCTTCACAGCATCAACCATGATGAGCAATTGCACTTCTTTCGATCATGAATCATTGAATATTTAAGCAAGTCAACTACCCCAAATAAGTTGGAAAATATTTCTACTAGCAACTTCATTGATTACATTGTTACTCTGCTTCTTGAGCATTTCCTCTTGAGCACGAACGTCACCATCCTTTCCAGAGCAAATTGAACCCAAATTAAAGGTGCTTAGATTATTCATAAACATAAGGAATTATAAAATTAATCAAACATCCCAATGAAAAAACACTAGTTGAATGGAGGAGGATTCAACACCAGCATGCTCACATCCAGATATAAGAACCAGCTCAGATTGTCTAAGTTACTAATGAAACACTGTTTATCTGTGCAGATCATTCTGTATAACTTTATTTACTGCATAACGCATAGCATGATTTTTTGTTTTTTAAAAAAAAGAAGGAAAGAATTTCGCTTCATTCATCATAAAGAAATTCATTTACTGTAGAATACATAATGTTGTCTTTCTCTATTGAAAAAAGGAAAAAAAAAAACAGAGAGAGAATTTTAGGGCGTGTTCGGATTGCATCTCAAAAAACAGTATTCAAAAATAATATTTGAAAAGAGTTTTAAAAAAGGTGTTTAGATATTTTTATATTGCAAAACCTGTTTGGATATATGTTTTTTGAAACAGTTTTAAGGAACAAAAAATAGTAAAACTTGTTTGAACAATGATCCACAACCCCCCCCCCCCAAAAAAAACCAATTTTCGTCTTCTCTCTCTAGTCCCATCTTTGTCTTTCCCTTCTCTCTCTCTCCATTTTATCCTCTCAATCTCCACCCTACTTTTTTCACTTTGTTTAGCAAAAAAGGGAAGAATGGGTATGGGTCTGACCTAAAAGCATAACGCTTAACTGACTAAAAACTTTGAACCTAAGCTGCTCAATTCACATTCATTACCTCATAGTTGACCTACTTTAGTTCTTCAACTCACTTGTGAACCAACTATTAGACTTTATGTCTTTAGGGCCAAAATTTTATTGGTGGGGCAAATATTCACCCCCATCAATTGAATAAAAGGTTGTTTAAGGGATCACACCAAACTATGAAATACATACACAAAGAAAATAACTTGTGTATCTTGCAATCAGTAAAGTCTCCCTCTTAGCCTCCATAGGGTCTTGAAACTCAAGCACAAAAACATCTAGGCCTCTTATTGAGACAATGTCATCGCTTGCTAACACATTCACACCCATACCAAAAGAAAATCTCACATGCAAGGCAAAGCCTTCCCATACCCATCAAGTAGACGTGTAGAAAAGGAAAGTATTCTACTGTTTCCATAGAGACCCAAAGTTGAGCAGTCAAAAAGAAAAAAATTCTTCCAAAACCACAAAAAATCAAACCTTTCACAATGAACCAACCAACATACTTGATCACTTAAACAGTTGGACCATATACTAACACCTCCGAGTAACGCTTTTTTACTTTTGTTTCTTCTTGCAACATAGTACTAATAAATACAATGACCTTCAATGTGTTTTGTGATCACTAAAAATTTCTCTCATTTTGGAGGATCTTTCATTTCTGTTAATTTTTAGACAAACGTCAAGTGTTTGCAAATCCCTTTTATTTTTTCATTGAATCCTCTTATCAGAAACCAAATGACCAGAATGTTCAAAAAATTACTGGTTTCACATCCTTGCCACTTAAATAACTCCCCATTTGTTTCAGAATAGCCCCAATCGAGTATAAATTGGAAAAGGAGAGAACTCACAAGTGAAGAATATGCACGAGCAAGAGATAGCAGGGTCGGGTACAAATCCAGAACAGTGATGGCAACCTCCTCTGTCACCTGTTGGACCTGCATTCACAAAAAAGAAAGAAGTCTTCCGGACTGTTATTAAGAAAACAACAATATAGAAAATACTACCAGGCTGTCGTACTCAGCAAAGGTTGTCGAAGCACCCTATTCAGCTTATCTAATTTGGACCTTTTATTGTCCAGGCTCACAACAGATAGCAGTGATCAATAATAAAAAGCAAGGGCATCCCAAAGATAGATCAGCTTCTAGTGGAATATTTACACATAGTTAAACAGACACAGGCTAATTGACCCAAAAAAAACAAGAGAGAGAGAGAGAGAAGTCAGGGGCATACAAACACTGGCGGGCAATCTCAGGGGCATCCCCCAATTTCCTATTATTTTTCATAATAGTATACAGATGTATAATGATTATGATCATTCGGACTGTTTAAATCAATTGCAATGCCTGTTATAAAACCACAACTGGTACCTGCATGAGTTGGGTGGCAAAGACATCACTGACTGTCATCTTTTCTAAATCTTGGCACCTCTTAATAAATTCATCAAAAGGAGAGCAGACCCCACAGCTTTTCTCTTTGTCTTCAGGATCCAGAGATCTGTAGTACTGGGTTATTGCTCGAGTGAGAAAACCATATTTTCTTATCGTATCTCCCAGACCACTTGTTCTCTGCACATCGAATCCTTCCAAAACCTCGGTTGTGAAACAGCTGCACATAGACAAACAATATATGATACGATCTAGAATCTTAAAAATAAAACACAAAGCAATTGAGAACACCCACTGAAGCATGTAAATATTTCAGATACACAGAATAAAGCAGACTACATTTATATTATCAGCAACCAGGTTTGTCCTGCGAGAGTATTAAAAGACGGATAATAAAAGGAAAAGAAAGAAGAAAGTGAAAATGATAAAAGGGGCCTTCAAGTATTGAAGTTAGAGGCATAAATATCCTACCAAGTGATATGACAGATTCAACAAGGCGGCATAGTCAACAAGCTCCAGTTAGATGTAATAAAAGGAAAAATAACCAAATTAAAAAAACATCAATGCGCATAATGGGGAGTTCTTGAGCAACTTCCTTCAACTAATTATTCCCCCTCCAAAAGCTACTAAAGTTTCAATAGAGTTAACAGCTTGGAGCTGTTATACTATTGTGTAAATTCTAAATGATCATCAACTCCATGCTGGTTTAAGCCATTGGTTTATCATTTAGATAGAACTAGTTGCCAAAACATACATTTCAGCTGAATCAAACAAGATCCCTTATGCAGATCACAGAAAGCCTTGCATCCGGTATGCGGGATTAAGGCTTGGGAATGGAATGTGCATTCCCTGGTAATGCCTATTCCCATGGTTGGTTGGCAGGAATTAAAATCCATTCCCATTCCTAAGGAATAGGTAATCCCACAAATAATGGGATTAGGCATTACCAAATCTACTATGGTTATTTCCATTCCTTTCCCACCCACTAGTGCACCATTCCGGGGAAAAAAAAAATCGCTCCTTTCCCTTCCTGATCATCGGTCTCCCACTCCCCTAATCTCTCCTCTTCTTTCCTCACATCTTCTCCTCTTCCTCACTAACGCCATGGCACTCCACCTCTCTCCTCATCCCCTCCTAATCACATTCTTCCGGTCCCTCATCTCTTTATGAAGCAAAGGTTCATATAGGTGGCAAGGACCAACCTATATTAGCTTAGATCCAACCAATCTCAAGTAGTTTCTTGTTAAATTTAGTAGATATAATCGCAAATTTTTAGGGTTTGGAATTTTTTTGCCATTTCAAATGTGAGTCTGTCTCTTGAAAACACTTTGCTTCAATTTTTCAAATCTCTTTTTTCTTTTCTAATTCAAGATATGAACTAGACTTTTTTTTATAAGAAATCAAATGCTTATATTAATAATTTAAAAAATGAGTGTTAAATCAAAGAATAAAAAGAAAATAAAGGAAAAATAAAGTTACATAATAGGTCGTAGGAAGCACGAATACGGTATGGGTGTCGTATTCGATACAATACAGATACAGGGATATGCCGAAATTCAAAAATATAGAACACAGATACAATAAGAATACGGCTATTAAAATAATATAATATATATTTTAAATAATAATAGAGTTGTAATATATTAAATATAAAGCATATATTATAACAATATTAATAAGAAGACCTAGCAAATATTATTTTTTTGATTAAAATTGAAATATATCAAATTAAATATCTTGCATTTTCATCAAACATCATGACATCTATTAACATTCATAATATATAAGTTACATAACAAAAAATATATAAAAAAAAGTAAAAATCACACTCTTTTTAATAGTTAAAAGTTATTTTTTTAATAAAAAAATTTTTTGACATGTCCTAGATGTATCCTAACCGTGTTCAGACCGTGTCAGACTAAGTTTACTATTTAGGACACTTCTATCTATGTCAGACACATGTCTGGCCGTATCCTAGCCGTGTCCAACACAGCCACAGCACCTTGTGGAAGTATCCATGCTTCCTAAAATAAGTCTATAAATCACAAATCTCTCTCCATCCCGCTAAGATTGCAAAAAGCAAAACTCCTTTGAAATACTTTGAGACCGACGCCCAAATGTGACGAAGAAATGAATACGGTCCCACAATCCTTCTAAAGACTCGTATTGATCTTTAAAAATTCTTGTATTTCTTTACTTCCAAATAACCCAAAAAATAGCAAAAATAGCACAGTTACAAAGAGTCACACCTTTATCATATCTTCCAAAGCCTTTAATCTCTTCAATAAAGAAAGATATGGATGAAGCACGAATCACCCAACTCAAATCCACCATTCGAAACAAATTATACCACATAGCCAAAGAAACTAGACAATGTAAAAATAAGATATAAACTAGAACTTTATGCATATGAAACCACTCACACATGTTATTGGTGAATCATGACTCCTAAGCTAACCAATTTTGAAGATCTAGTGGGTGTTTTACAATGCAGATAAGGTTTTTGTCAAAATGCAGATAAGGTTTTTGTCAAAATGCAGAAGGAAAATAACGGTGGGGATCCATCAGCTCAATATCTACATCTTTGTGTTGGCAATAATGTAGATTGTGTACAGTGTGACCACAATGGCTTTAGGAAGGGCCAAGGTACAAGACTGTTTGCATACTAATTGTGATGGCAATGTATGGTGACTATTGAGCTTTTCCGATCGATAGACTTCAGAAACCTTATTTCAAGCATAGTTTTAATTCTCTAGGGTGCTTAGCGTTTACTCCCCCTAACTTAGATTGTTGTTTGGATACATTGACTTCGGTTATTTCGACTTCAAGTTGGCCTTGGCCTCCAATTTTTCTCATAGCACCTTGTATTGCACCCCCATGCATGACTATAATTGAAAACTCAAGATCACCCTATAATTTATCATACCAGGCCAACTCAATTGACTTGCAAATCAACCCGTCTACGTTAAGATAATGTGAAAGGGAAGAAAGCCCCACATGATAGGGAGCTCTCTGCTTTTATCTTCACTTACTCACCAACTCCCCCCATTTTCAATTATATATATAGTTTGGCATACAAGATTTTTTAAAGGGAAATAGTATGAATAAATTAGAGTGAAGGGAAAGAGGGACAAAATGATGAAGAGGTATCTATTTTTTTTGTTTCTTGTAGTTTAATTAGATAATACAATGTCTTGTCTATTTTTTTGATTGGGTATCTGATCATTAGATAGAATGTGTATATGCATGTAACTAATAGACAGTTGCTTTTTTTTTCTTTCCATATGCTTGTTTTTATATGCACTTAATGGTTTAATGCACTTAATGTCTGATCATTCTTTCTATATGCTTGTTTTTCTATGTCCAAGAATTAAAAATGTGTGTCAAATCAATCAAAATGCACGAAACATTTCGGTTTCATGACAAAACGAAACGAAAAAGTAGAGGAAAAGGGGAATTCACGTGCTTCGATCGAAACGACCTTGATTCAAGACCTTTCGAGCAAATAAAGTCTGTTTCGGTTGAAACTGACATGTGATTCGACAAAAAGCCTATTTTTCTGCAAAATGGGAGATTCCTTAAGCTCAATTGCAGCTCTACAATAGAGAAAAGGGTAAAAAATCATGGAAGAAAGAGAAAGGCAGAGTGAGATTCCTTCGTCCTACTCACATAACATGCAACAGAGGACAACAAAACAAACAATAATAGAAGAAACAGAGAGAGGATGAGATGGAAAAGAGCAACAAAGTGAAGAAGAAGAAGAAGAGGAGGAGAGATACTTACCAGATTTGTGCAAACAAGCCACGCACAGCTAGAGTCAAGCAGATCTGAGTTTGAGCTCAACCACTGCCAGCTCAGGAGAGATACTAAGTGAATTTGTTAGATTTCTTTAGCTCAATATGCTAAATTTATTTAGCTCTATGTTTGTTTAAGTACTAATGTGAGTGGTTATCAACTCCCAATTGGTATTGATGTTGTAGTCTGTGACTTAAAGAGGCAACAAATGCGTTTGGAGTGCAATTGGTATGGATGTTGTAGTTCGTGACTAAAAGAAAAAGGTTTTTGAAGAATTTTTGAACATTCTTGACTTTTCCACGAGTGAGACACTAAGCCTCGAGTATGTAGGCTCATAACTTTGATCTTATTGACCTTTCTTTTTACCATCCCCGAAGCCGAAAAGACTAAATTTATTATAGG